ACAATGTATTATTTTAATTAGTCTACAAGGTTATGTACAAAATATATAAATAAAATCAATGCTAATTATTTGAGAAAATGCTGAACTAATATCGTGTTTAAATATTGGTTGGTCTATACAATAAGTTGTGTTATAAACTTGTCGACAACCAGCCTTCCAATTCAACGACTCCAAAAAACAAAATATCAAATTATTCTCAATCGATAAATATACAAAATATATAGGAGTTAAACATAGACCATGATAAAAATACAGTGTTCAAATTTGATAATCGCAATAACTGAATGGCAAATAGTGACAACCAAAAAGTACCAACATTTTGATGAAATTAGGGACATATAGTCTGTCTCACGAGAGAACGGGACCATCGGCCGACCAAAACTCGTTCGCCGCCGCGCATCCCGCACCAACTTTTCGTTGTAAGCGTGATCACGTGGTTATCCACTCACCAATCGAATCAGTCTACATGCGCGAAACGGTCCCGTTCTTTCGTGAGACAGACTATAGTTGTGAGCAATGGACTAAATAAAATATAATTTTTAGAACGAAATAAACAAGTAGTTATAGCTAATATATAGGTAACTAAGACAATATAGGTAGTAAGTACTTAATTATTTTAGTGAAAAACCATCAAAAGATTCTTAAAACAATAATTAAATATACCTATTACCTATCTATAGGCTATAACATATAATTTATAAGTTCTTTTAGTGTACACTTGTATATATTTAAGAATCAAAATATAATGAGTTTGTTTAATTTGTATGGCGTGCAGTATAATGAATAATTACTAATGATATTAACTATTGAGAACAGGAAAAAAAAATATATATTTTTTGCCAATTTATCAATAAATTGTAAGAAGATAGCAAGAATTCGAATATGTACCTACCTGAGTGATTAAATTATAGTATCCGTGAATGCAATTGAAGAGGACTTTTATGTAGAATAAGTAAAAATCTTTGCATTTATGCAATGGGTACCTATGTAATAATTACCAAGACACTGCACTAAATACCGACATAACATAGTCACAGAGATTAATGGTATCAATAGCTTAAAATTAGTCTAAATATATTGAATATTTCTTTGTGTATAGAAAATAATATTACTAAAAGTTATAACTGTTACAGTGACGTATCTACGGGGTAATATGGGGGTTATATCCCACAGGAAGACCAAACTTTTTACACAAACAACTTGTACATAATAATTTGAATATAATATGTGTATACTGAATGTCTATAAAAAATTGTATATCCCCCCAACACTTGAAAAAATCCTAGATACGCTACTCTTACAGTCTATAATATGATAATATAGACTATTCGTTTTTATATATTATAGTTAGGTATATTGTGGTGTATTTACTGAGAATAAGTTAACGACAAAATAACCGCCAGCATAGACAAACGCAAATGACAATTGAAAAAAGCCGCTCAGCTGTACAGTAGGTTACAAGTGGGTCGCTGTAATGGATGCTGTTAAATTTGAATTCAATGGTATAATATCATTGTATAAGAACAAGGATTCTGAGCGAAAACGGTCAGTCAGCCTATGATATTACTAAGTATATTTTATGATATTATTGTGAATATAGTAATTTATATATTTACCTATTTACTTGGAACCTTGTTAAATTTTCAATCCTTAGCTATGAAATTTGAACATTTTATAGATTTTTAACTAAAAAATAATTATTAAACTTTAAGTACGATAAATTTTGTCAAAATTATAATACTTATAAAAAAAAAATTGTGAATATGTATTTTTAATATTTTTCAACTGCTATTGTTATAATATATCAGGAGCCTTGCATTAAATTTTCGCTGTGTCTACACGCCCGACCATGGTCGGTTAGATAAGGAACGCCCGACCATGTTCGGTAAGATAAGGAACTCCCGACCATGGTCGTTAAGATAAGGATGCCCGACCATGGTTGTTAAGATAAGGATGCCCGACCAATGAAAAGCGTCTTTTTTGAATTTTTAAATGTATTCGGTCAGAACGGGATCACTGTGCAATGAAGGTAGTTCAAAAAATACCAACATCAATACTTCAAAACTCAGATGAAGAAAAATATTACAAATATCTTACTCCGTATGCTTTTAATTTCATAAAAAAAATCTATTTTGCCCAACAAAAGAGGTTCTAAAAGAGACAACTCTTGATTCATGATCGTGTAGTTTTTACAAGTCTATGAAATTACCATGCAAACATATCATTAATCAAAGGAGAGAAACAAACATCCCATATTCGTTGAAATTCTGTGCGATGTAAGGTGGACGAGGAATTATTACATTAACAGTCAAAAAATACTAAATAATCCTCCTGAACAGACAGATTCAAAAATAGCAATTCAAATTCAACGTCCAAAAAAGAGTCAAAAAATGTTGACAGCACCTGAGAAGTACAGAAAAGCATCCATCCACCCAGCAAAAATGGCAGAACTTTTGTCAGAAGTTTCTTAATTCAGTTTTGAAAGAAGGATATGTCAGCTACAACAAATAGTTAATCTTTGGAGCAAAAACAAAGATTTTTTGATTGAAGAAATTCCATTGGAGAACTGCGCAGGTAACTATCTACAATTAATAAATTCAAATAAATTTTTATTTAATTTTACAATTGTATATCTTCAGAGAATGTTAATGACATAGAAACTGTTGAACCTGGATGTATTATGGATCAGGCCGTGGGTACTGGATATAAAATGGATCAGCTCGTGGAAACTGAATGTGCTATTTCTGCAGGTTATTAACTATAATTTGATAAAAAATAAATTTATATTTAATTTTACAATTGTATATCTTCAGAGAATGATAATGACATAGAAACTGTTAAACCTGGATATAATATTATGGATCAGGCCGTGGAAACTAGATGTGATATTGTGCTATCGGATGTCAAATTACCGAAAAAAGTGAACTGTCCCGGAAGACCAAAGGGAGCTACATTAACATCAATAGGACTTCCTAAAAAACGACCAATTAGTAAACCTATTGCATTTGCGCAGAAACATTATAAAACTAAGGAAAATATTATAATGGAATGGCTTACCAAAAAAAAAAAGTGGTCGATCAAGTAAGGAAAGACAAATATATCATAGAGGAGAAGGATATTGAATGCCGCCACGAAATTATTTGTAACGGTGTTATGGAAGAAGACGTCGATATCCATACAATATCTATACCAAAGATGCATGCAGGTTAGTGCCACTTCTAATGAACAAAATGTTCCATTGTAGTTTCATATTGCAGTCCCCGGAAGCGCTGTTGTCCTACCAGGTGGCGGTCGGCACACGCGCAGTCGCGCCACTCGGCACTTGTACATTTCCCGCTCAATGCTTTTAACTTTTCGGTAATCTTTTATCTATGGTTTACGGTTTTACGCACGTGTATACAAATCTAACGTTCAGCATCAAATTTTTTTTGTTTAAGCGGTCATTTTCGGTAGCATACTTGGCACTTGCTTATATCACACTATTTAACTATTATTTTATACTTTACGTTCAGTGCTCATTACGTTACTGATAAAAATGTCCGGAGAGTATAAAAACCAGTCAAAATGCTTCGTTAAAGGCTGTACTTCCAAAAGTAAGTACATACTAAGTACCTATACATTATTGTTATTGTAAATTTTGAATTTAGTTGCTTGTGTATATCTATTTATTGTATTTATTGTATTCATTGTAGACATGGTTTGTCATCGTTTCCCTAATGAGAATAAAGACTTTGCACGACGATTGGAATGGATTAAAGCTGTGGGCTTTACAGCGGATGACAATCCTAAATTCAAAAACAAATATATTTGTTCTGTTCATTTGGCTGATAATTGTTCAAGTCCTGGTACAAAACGATTAAATGCAAACGCATATCCAACATTAAATTTACCTGTGGGTAAGTGCCATATTTAAATTTGTTATATTATATTTAGTTGCTACTTATAGGTACATAATTTAATTTTAATATACCTAAATACTAAGTAATTTAAACTATTTTTTATATTTAATTAGGAATACCTGATGGCTTAGTTGCATTACCTATCACTGTTCAAGCTTATAACACTGAATTAGTCACAGATAACTTAATTGGTTTGTTTTTAATTATATATTAGTTGTGTAGTACTCTTTAACATGTTTAATTTTGAAAATTTTAGAAAATCGTTTGAATTCAGTAGTGTGCAGCACTCCAAAACATGATAATATATTGCATGATTTGCATGACATCTCAGGATTTGATTTTTTGAATTCAACTGTTGACGGCAAATCAGATGATGTTGATGATAGTACAGAATGCCTCAAGTTATACGTTTGTAATACTATATAGTTAATTTAATTGTAGCTAATTTGTGCATGTTAGTTTATTTGTATGCTTTTATTTTGCTAGATGTAGATGTTGATGGTTGTGCTATTGACAGTGAAGTTAGAGATGGCGATAGTCTAACTTGTAGAGCTTTAAAAAAAAAACAAAAGTTCAAAAGTTCAAAGAAACAGCATGGTTAATATTTAGTTTTACTTGAGTAGTTAGTTATGTAATATTTATCATAGTAGTTATTTAATTATTTATGTAACTTATCATTTAGGCGTTCTTAGAGAAATTGGAGTTACCAATAGTAAACAGCTTACACCTAGATGCAGAAACTTTTATAACATAACCAATATGTTATTGAAAAAGTGTCGACGGGCAAATAGCCGTAGAAACCTCTTTAAGGATAGACTCCACGCCGCTGAAAAGTTCACTGAAGAATATTTAATTGGCAAAAATTCTGAAAAAACGACTGCTGCAGCTTCATTATTTGTGCGCTTGCAAATAAGAGAGACTAGCAAACTAAGCAGAGGCCGTCGATTCACTATGGATGAAAAAATGTTGAGTTTATCTCTATATAAAAGATCACCAAAATGTTATAGAATGCTGTCCAAACTTTTTACTTTGCCAAGTAAACGAACATTAAATACAATATTGTCAACAGTTGTCATTTCTACTGGTATTTGCCCATCAATTATGAGTGTACTCAAAGAAAATGTTAAACATCTGAAGCCTTCTGAAAAGTGAGATATTTTATGATTTTATTGTAGAGTACATTTTATTTTTTATACCATTTTCATAGATTTTGCTCAATATTGTCTGATGAAGTATGCTTATCAAGTGGATTGTCATATGATTCAGTTACAGACCCGATTGATGGTTTTGTTGACACTGGATATTCTAAAAGTCAAAATATTGCTGACCATGCACTGGTTTTTATGGTCCGCGGAATAAAAAAGAAATTCAAACAACCTATAGCCTATTCTTTTTGCAAAGGAGCAACCACACAACATGAATTGATTCGGCAATTAAAACAAGTAAATATATTTATTTATTTACTCGCGGTATTTAATTATTTTTGATTATTGTTTTCCGTTATAATTACGTTTACAAATTTCAATCGTTATTTGTCAAATATAACGTTATAATCATAACTTTTTGTTTACTTCATAAATTTAATAGGTCATACGCTGTGTTCACCAATGTGGCTTGAAAGTTGTGGCAACTATAAGTGACCAAGGGAGTGCAAATTGTGGTGCTATTAAAATTTTAAATCAAGAAACAAGATCATATTACATTAAAAATGAATTACCATACAATGACGAATTTTATGAAATTGAATTGGAGAATAATGAAAGATTGAAACTAGTCCACATTTATGACGTTCCCCATTTGATAAAATGTATCAGGAACAATTTGATTACAAAGGATTTAGTTTTCACCATTAATAACGATGTAAAATGTGCAAAATTGTCACATTTGGTTGATTTATATAATGTAGATAATGCTATTCCTGACTGCAAAATGTTGCCACGTCTTACTGACCAGCATATCATACCAGAGAAAATTATGAAAATGAAGGTTAAGAATGCCACACAAGTTTTTTCCCAAAGAGTGTCTTCAACAATGAACTTTTTAGCATGTAAGAATGATGATTACAATATTAACAATTTCCTTAAAAATGTTCAGTAAAATTAATTTTTAGCAAAATTTGGGATCAATAATAATAAATTATTAAAAATGATATTTTTTAATTCTTACAGCTCGTAATATAATCAGTTCAGATGCTCAACACACTGCATCTCTTTGTTTGTTTTTTGATAATCTTTTTGATTCATTAAATGGCAACTTTGATAAGGTTGTAGATGGGAAAATTTATAGAACATCGGTAAAAAAAAATTCACCCCATCATCAACTCTGGGCAGACAGTCTGAAAGTTCTTAATACTATGAGATTTGTAGGGAGAAATGGAAAAAATGTGTCTGTTCCAACAATACGCAGTTGGATGACTACAATAAGAGGTTTGTGCTTCTGAATTCATTTTTTAAAATTATTTACAGTACTATAAATAAATGTATTATTTCAGCGTTTCAGACTTTGTACAAAGTGTTGGGTTCAGTGGGGATCAAATCATTACTGCCACGTAACCTCAACCAAGATTCGCTTGAATGTTTTTTTGGAGCAATTAGGAATGTTGGATCAGCAAATCCTAATTGCAATGCGTTCACTTCCGCCTACAAAACATTAGTTCTCAATAATTTGGTATCTTCGCATTCACCAGGGTCAAATTGTGAGGAAGATTTTGCAGAAGGACGCTTGGCTCAGTTCAAAAATTTATTTATGTTTTCAAAAACACCTAGTACACCCAGTGATAAAATCATAGCTGCTGACCTTCCATTAACAATTCACCAACTACCCAATCCTACATCTTATCTTCGGGACCAAACACACTCATACATTGCTGGATTCATTATAAAAAAATTGAATTAAGACTTCTTTAAAAATTGTAAGCAATGTCTTAGCCAAATATGCACTAATAGACCTTCTGAAGACCACCAACTCATAGCTGCTCGAGAATATCAAGTACATCAAAAATCACTCAAATATCCATCAATCACATTTAAAAAAACTATTGAACATATATTAAATTATATTGGAGAACATATATCTAATATTAGTATTCAAACCATGTAAACACACGTGCGTGTACAATGTCGTTTTCTAATAGATACTTATGCACTAAATATGCAGTTACGATATAGCTGTGCAACACCTTTACTATCGCTTTCTATATTATATACGGATACGGGATAGCCTCGATTGTTCATATAAATAGGGCCTTTGATGTATGTAATAATCACTTGCACAGACGCTGTCATACCGAGTGTACGCGGTGTGTGTGTATAGTCACAGTTTAATTTTCCAGTTGTACGTTATTATATATTATACTTAGACATAATCATATTGTCGTGTTATTACTTATTATATTAATGCTAAAATCACTAGTACGTCAAGCTTCACTTTCAACATATATTATTATTAGGTAATATCATGTAATATAATAACGACAATGGTCGGGAGGCGCATTCACAGAATGCTTATATTAATTATTGAAATATACTATAAGGTATAAGCGGTATAGGTAAGGTATAGAACAAAAATTGGTGCCTTTACCTACCATGGTTGGGAATTCCTTATCTTATCGACCATGGTCGGGCGTTCCTTATCTTACCGACCATGGTCGGGTGTACCTTTCTTACCGACCATGGTAAGATTGATTAGACACAGTCCACAGTGTTATGGTTGCTGCCGCATTTGACACAACGTGGAGATTCACTACATTAAGAACGAGTGTGACCGTATCGCTGACATTGTTTACATATTGGAGGGTAACGTGATTGATGCGGTTTTATGACAACTATTTTGGTGCCACCCTGGTAGGCAATGCTCAATAATTCGATTTGATGCAAGCTTGTACCTGATCTGCCCGAATAACCAATGGCAACCAATAAATAAATGCTAATTTCTACTGTAGACCGTAACCAATGGCAACTATTAATAAATAAAAATAAAATTTCCAATTTCCATCGTGCATCTCAATGTCTCTGTTTGAGCACCTATTTCAAATGCGAATTTTGGCAAATCCTTTCTTATTGCACGGTAAAAATATGGGAAGAACCTCTAATCCAAATTTCAAGTCCGTACGTTGAGTAGTTTTTGAGATACAGCGATCAGTGAGTCAGTGGTATTTGGATTTTATATGTATAAATAACTAATTATTGACTAACATTATCGGACTTTATTTATGCCTAAAACCTGCTCCGTGATATCCTCTTTCATTTAAAAAAAACTGCATGACAATTGGATAAGAAGTTTCGAAGCCAAAACGTAACAAAGATTTCCTCTTTTGCTTGATTTCAATTTTATATATATAGATAAAGGAACAAAAATGTATTTTGTAAAACAAATACCAAGTCGGTTACTTGGTTTTTATTTTTTTTTTTATTGTTATACTCGATATATTCATATGATTAATTATTTTGTATTTGCATGTTGTTAAAAGTTAATATATTATTTTATACTTCAACATTCTGGTTTTGGTGACATAACCCTTTCATCACGTTTAATCACATCGTGAAATCAGTGCAAAAAGAGTTAAGTCAGTTTTTTTTTAAGTGTGTACAATATTGTCGGATATCTGTGGAAATACACAATGCCGTAATTTGGCCGCCATATCGTTATCGACAACAATTGTCATCGGTAATTACGGTCGACTCCACGTCGAGAACCTTCGATACCCCGCGCCGCCAGTTCCATCTGTATCGCTGTCTGCCGGCTCACCGCGAACCCGTCACCGCCGCGTCAGTGCGTTGTCGTCAGTTCGTCGCAACTTTTGCTGCGGCAACCCCGGCTCGCGTGTCACGTCCGGGTTTTGCGCGACAGACTATTTTCACGTGATCGGTGGTCCTGAATGTGCTGAGTTACGTATCGGCCGTGGCGGTTTTGCGTGTTTTCCCTTTGTGGTCTATCCGTCCGTGTACAGTTCTCCGCGATCACCGGTGGTACGTTCTACTAATTGTACGCACTGAATGCACGCTAAAACAACTTGTTGTCTCGTGATCGTGTTTGTTTAAAGCCGTCGATTTTGTGTCGCTTTGTGTGCCGGCAACGTGCGGGTCGTGTCGTCTTCCGCGTCTCCAACCGTACATTTCACGGTGCCTCCCGTGGACCACGGCAAAATTAATTGGTTTAACCTGCTCTTCGTGGGCCATCGTGGGATTCTCAGTGGCCAGCGTTAGATCGCCGTGTGGACCAGTGGACCGTTGAGAAGGACCGAGTGGCAACACTGTCAATGTTAATCAGCGGATACCGAAGAGACCGGTGATTACACTATTATTCATTATCATTGTAAAACATCATTGTTTATTATTTTGTTGATATGACAGTATATATTATTTGTACTATATTATTAATTGTCCCCGTAGGCGAAATTTGAAAACGTGTCATGGTCGGCTCATTTAACTAGCGCCTCTTATCAGCACTATCACAGTATTATCATTTATAATTTTATCAACTGTTTAACCATGATGAAGAAAATTTCTTTCAAAACTTTTTGTGCCTTAGTGTCTTGTGCATAGAATCATAGAACAACAATTTAATTAGTATGGGTAGGTTTTTATATTTTTCTAATCATTTGTGTACAATATAAAATATATACAAATAATATATTATATTGTTTTGTTTTGTTTTTTAGATATCAGCAGTAGTGTGAGTGTATGTACATTTGACATTTTATTTTTTTTCTATAACATGTTAATTTTTGTAATGTAATGATTTTATGAATTTTAAAATTTGAATTGGTTTTTATGTTTACCTATAAGTTATTTTAGTGTAATTTAACTAAACTATATTTTTTTTATTATCCTTTATTTATATGTAAATTGTAATTTCTATAACAAATGAATTTTAAAAATTGAAATTTGAATCGTTTTTTTATGTTTACCTTTGTTCTTTTATTTATGATAATTTTTTGAAATTGTTATGTGAATGTTTTTAATAAAATTATATGCACATGTAAACTTATATGGTTTTTTATGTTTACTTATAATAATATGTTAAATGTTTGTACTACTAACATAAAATAGCTATGGGTCACAATGACATGAAAAAAAAAGTAAATACAATACATATTAAAAAATATATTTACAAATTTACAATATAATATGATTGTTAATAATAACTAAATATTGTGATGCAATGATAACACTAATACCTAAATATTATGTAGGTAGGAAAAATACATTGCTCATTATTAAGATTGTTTTGTGAGTTTTCATGTTTTGTATTGGAATTATTATTTAAATACTGGCGCTGCTGGTCTGTGTCATTCTTGAAATTCAATTTTTCTATAGACAATTTTAAACAAACATTACAGTTGCCAGTTTCAGATTATCATTTTCATTCTAGAATAGTATTAAAGTACTATATACAAATTTTATTTTTATAAGGACTTCGTATTTTCTTATTCACAAATTATTTTCATACTGTTTTTAAAAATACTTTTTTTTTAAACAACATTATGATACTAAATTTTAAAAAAGAAATTAACATGATATAAAATGTAGCCATGTTTTTTAGTTCTGAAAAAGGTAAAAAAAAAAACATAAATTATATCATTTTATTTATATTATTTATAATAAACAATTATTACCAATTAATGTCACAGGGATTTTCAGATTAGATTCTATTTTGTGAGTTCTCATGTTTTGTATTGGAATGGGCCACTTTATATTCTATAATATTATAACTTTGATGAGTAAGTAAATTGAATTTTTATAGAAAGTTTGTTTGTGACGAATGTCAACAGACATTCAAACATAATTCCTCTTTAAAAAGGCACACGATACAAAAACATAATACTATAAATAAAGAGATAGAAAGGGAATTTAAATGCACAGAATGTGAAAAGAAATTTACTCAAAAGAAGAATATGTTAGGCATTTAAAAACACATCCACAAGTTAATAACGAAGACAATATTGATGATCCTTCAAAAGTTAAGGAGGAAAGAAGGGAACAAATAAATGGGTACCTTCAAGTAATAATCAATATTCTATACGACATACCACATAGACATATTATATAATCTAAGTATTAACAATGACTAATTAATGATCTAGAGTCAAATCCCTGCTGGATATGAGTATTCAATGGTAGAATACTCAAGTTTAGGAGGGCAAATGTTCAAAGCAAAATTTTATATTCATGAATTTGGAGTTGAACATATTATTATTGGATAATGGCAATGAGAAACGAAAATAAAATTACATATTTAGCAACGAATGTATTAAAGCCATCTTCCAATACAATTATTTTAAAGGTAAAATATTAATAATATAAATTAATATAAAACATACTAGGAAAAACTTACTTTTACATAGAAACGTTATCGCTGCCATCATAACACCAGACCAAAAGTAAATTCGACTCCAAGTAAAAAACACTACAACTGTAAAGCTACTTTGGGAATTCAAATAATGGATGTTGAAAATTGTGTAGAAAGTCCTAACTTGTATGTTAATTAATTTATGAAATGTATTAATATTTAATACTATAATTACTTTATTTTCTAATTTATTAATATTATTATTATTTATTCCTAGGAATAATGAAAATGAAACATTGATTAGCATCAAAACAAAGGCATTAGTTACATTAAACCATACACATAATCACATAATAAGTAAGAGAAAAATTCCTAAAATTATTTGAGGAAGGTAAAACACCATCAAAAGCATTGTTCGTATTTAAATCTGAACTTAGAAATAATAAAGGAAATGCTTACTACACATATGCTGGTGATCGAGGAGAACTTCCTGATCCGCAGTTGGTCTATTACCTTTATTATAAAACATTTAAAAAACATTTTGGTTTTTCACATGGCGAACATATGATGACATCACTCAGGGACTCGGTAAAAGATTATAACAA